TTTCAAGCAAAAGAATCATCTAAATAAACATTATTAAGCAAATCGGTCATTGTGAAGTTACACAAATAGAAGGAAGCAATTACCTCAGTGTCATTGTGAAGACCATCCCCTTTAGCACCATAATCACCGACATAAAGAACCCATTTCGATCTAGTTCGTGCTCTTCTCCACCTGGAACGTGGGTGCTGGATCACAGAATCAAACCCTTCTGCACGAGTGAGATATGGAGTGACAAGTACATTTACATGAATGAAGATAATCACAAATGCCCAACTGAAACAATATCTGAGGTTCTTCATTTTCTTTCAGATTCCGACCATCCACAGGTTTCGTGACAGAATCTTAGGTTGCTGGTTCAGCAGGAACAACTACTAAAAGAGTATCACGTGACAGAAACACCATTTGAAAACACTGCACATTACTACCACAACGTCAGTGGCGATGTTTCTATTCTATTCATCAAACCATAACCGAACCTAATTGCAATTTACATCTGCATGCAATTCAATTTTTCTCAATAAATGTCACATTCATGGCGCAAAATTAAACTATTTTAGCATAGAATTTATCTCTTGTTAATCTAATACTTGCAAGACCCGAAATTTCCTTTTCTCGTACCCTTCTTTCCTTACTACAAGAACTGCATCCCAATGATAAAGAATTTCGTGCTATGTCGTTTTTTTCACTCTCTTTCTCTTGTTTTTTCTTGCTCTGCCCAGGTTGCTAAATTAGTAAATGGTAGACTATGAAGGCAGTGAGCTCCTCGGCAAAATCCAGCGACGCTTGCGCGGCCTTGGAGACGTAGCCGGTGAAATCGACGAAAAAAGAGGTCACGGAATCGGCGTTGAAAGGGTGCGGCCAGAAGGACTGAGTGAAGGAATTGGGAACGGAGCGTAGAATCTCAAAAATTAAAAAAATATAATTCACACACGTTTTTAATGCCACATAAATTAAAACTACACCGTCAGCATGCCACGTAATACTTTCCTTAACGGCGTTTATTCAATTTGACGGCAGACCCCTAATTGCTCAAATTTTACAAAAATAAGGATCCAATTGAGACGCCGAAAAGAAAAGGGACCTATTTGAGATTCACGCCGAAAATAGGGACCTACCGAGACATTAGACCTTTCAGAATATCTCTCTTTGTAACACATTAAGAATTTCATTGCAGCATGCAGATTTTTAATTTCTTTTATGTTTATTGAAATATTTCTCAATTCCCTCTTGTTTCTAGATTACATGTTCTATAATTATTCTTGAATATATTATGAAATAAAAATTCCAAAAAGGTTAATTAGGTCTTTCAGGTTTAAGATGTTATGAGCTTGGTAATCAGAAAAAGCATATGAAAAGTGTGCATGTAAAACTTTTGTTTGGGAATTTTGAAAATTTAAAAGAGGGTAAGATGACTTTTTGAAGGGTGCGGGAAGAAAGAGGTTATGAAGAAAAGATAACCAAAATAAATGTCAATCTAAAATTGTAAGCTTTTATTTTCTTTATTTTCTAGAATCATTGACATCGACCCAATTGGATCAAAGCCAGAAAAATTGAA